TTTTGGTTGACTAAGGTTAATAGGAAGAGATGAGGAAGGGAAATGGGAAGTAACTGCCAATGAGTAGAGAGTTTCTTTGAGGGACGATGAAAATGTTTTGAATGAATATTGTGATAGTCATACAGCTATAAATATATGAAAGCTATTGGCTTAATCAGGTATGGTTGTGCATGCCTGTAGTACCATTAGTTCCAGCATTTGGGAGACAGAGGCAGGTGGATCTCCTGTAGTTTGAGGACAGCCTGGTTGGTCTACATAGCAAGCCTTGGGCCAGCCAGGGCTACATAGGGAGACCCTGTCTCAAAAAAAAAAAAAAAAATGACCCAAATAAATAAATAAAATTTTTAAAAATTAAAAAAATAAAAATGTAGACAGCCAAGTAAGGAAGATACCCAATGTTGACTTCTGGCCTCCGTACATACACACAAATGATCATGTACACACATGCCTGAGTGCACACTCACACAAATAAATGAATAAATGTAATAAAATTTTTAAAAAATAGAGCTGGGTGTGGTGGCACACGCCTTTAATCCCAGCACTCGGGAGGCAGAGGAAGGCGGATCTCTGTGAGTTCAAGGCCAGCCTGATCTACATAGTGAGTTCCAGGACAGCTGGGGCTACAGGGAGACCCTGTCTCAAAAAGACCCTCCTCCCCCGTAAAAAAAAGTGAGGAACTGGAGCTGGAGAGGTGGCCTAGCTGTTAAAAGGGCTGGCTGATCTTGCAGAGGCCTCCAGTTTGGTTCCCAGCACCAATGTGGTGGTTAAGAACCATCTGTAACTCTAGCTCCAGGGGATACGATGCCTTCTTCTGGCCTCTGCAGGTATTACATGATATGGGTGCTCTTACATATTATGCAGACAAAACAGCCATACAAATAATTTTTAAATTTTATTATTTTTATTTTATGTATGCATGTACTGCCTGCATATACGTAAGTGTACCCATGTTGTGCAATGCCAGCGGAGGTCAGAAGAGGCTGGTCAGATCCCCTGGGACTGGAGTTATGGACAGTTGTTAGCTGCCATGTGGGTGCTGGGATTCGAACCCAGGTCTCCTGCAAGAACCACCAGTATTCTTAACCACTGAGCTATCCAGCCCCACAAATAATTTTTTTAACTGAGAAATTAGGGCCAGGCATGGTGGCACCCCTTCAATCTCAGCACTTGGGAGACAGAGGATCTCTGTGAGAATGAAGTAAGTGCCAGGCCAGTTGGGGGCCACATAAGTGAGACTGTCTCAAAATAACAAAAAACAAAAACTGATTAATTACTTTTTTAAAATTTGTTATTTTTATCTTATGTGTATGTGTGTATTGCCTGCATGTAGGTAAGTGCACCCATGTCGTGCAATGTGGAGGACAGAAGAGGCTGTCGGATCCCCTGGGACTGGAGTTACAGACAGTTGTTAGCTGCCATGTGGATGCTGTGATTCGAACCCAGGTCTTCTGCAAGAACAACCAGTGTTCTTAACTGCTGAGCCATCTCTCTAACCCTAACCATTCAAAACACTAACGGCAGCAACTCTACAGACTGAGACATGCCCTGAAATACAGTTCCCTTTCATGTAACCCCTTTCCTGATGTTGGAGTAATGAATGGTATTCTCACTGCTGACACTTGGACAAACACAAAAGGAATAGAGAAACTTAAAGCCACTCATGAGCCCATTGAGTCGGAGGCGGAGGCGAAGTACCACTGCCGGCCTGACTTTTCCTTCCTTCCTTTGGGAGAAAGCAGCACAACTTAGGCAAAGGAGTCAGATGCAAGAGCAGGAGGTGGTGGCACAGTCTGTCATCTCAGCACTTCCCAGGGCTGAGACGTTCCTGGGGGCACACAGGCCCACCAGGGCAGCTGACTCCAATGTACCCTTCAAAGACAGCTCTGCAACTTCAGTGGGACTCAGACAAGCCTTCCTTTAGGTTGTCCCAGCCTCAGTCAGTCAGTCC